GAATGTATTGTTATCATTCTTTTCTAGAAGCTCAAGGTCATCTTTTGTCTCCGTACTTTCACACCTGACCCGGAAGCAGCTGGGTAGGGATGCCAGCGTGGAGGAAGAAGATTGAATCATGTGATGGATTGTGGGTGTGGGGACAAGATGATGAACTTTTAACTGGGTGGAATTGTGATGTCATTTCCAGTATTGGGATTCCATAGCATAATGCCAAGATGTCTGATTTATTACATTGGAACTTTAAGGATCGTTTTGCCTTTGATTCTGATTTAATTCTACATGATACTTGGAACGGTGACAGGCATACTGGAACCAGTGGACCATGCCAAGTGGGAAACCCCTATTGTGACACCAGTGAAACCAGACAGGTCGGTCCGGATTTGTGCGGATTATAAATGTACTCTGAATAGAGCTCTTCAACAGAATGCAAACCTGTTACCAATGGCAGCACCTTTTTCTTGAGGAAAAGGGAGGGGGAGGTTGTTGCCCTTGCAAAATTAGATCTTGCCCAAGCTTACCAACAGCTCCCCATGGACGATGCCACTGCTGAAGCCCAAACTATTATAATATATCGGGGGGCATTCCGTTGTCATCGCCTATAGTTTGGGGTAAGTGTGGCCCTGGGTTTGTTCCAAAGCCTGTTGGAACGGTTGTTACATGGCATCCCTGGGGTTGACCCCTAGTTTGATGATTTGCTCATATCCGCTGCCAGTAAACATGAACTATTTGAATGACTACGACTAGTGTTACAAAGATTCCAAGAGGCTAGGCTAAAGGTAAAGGAAGAAAAGTATAAAGTAAATCAAGTCAAAGTTTCTGGGTTACTTGTTGATGCGTCCGGATTGCACCCTACCAAAGAGAAAGTACAAGCAATACATGCTGCGCCAACACCAAAGAATAAGATAGAACTCCAGGCCTTCTTGGGACTCCTCAATTTCTATAGTGTGTTTTTGTGACAGAAGGCATCTGTGGCCGAACCACTACACCGACTGTTAGGAAAAAAGGTACCATGGGTTTGGCGGCACAGAGAAGCAGCCACATTTGTGGGGGTGAAGAAATTAATTTCCTAGGACAGTGTCCTAGTCCAATATAATGAACACCTGCCATTAGTCCTTTTTTTAAATTATTATTATTAATATTTTTTTAATTTTTAATTTAAAACAAGT